TGGTTTACTTTGGGCTGTAACATACTTTAAGATACATTGCACCATTAACCTTTATGAAAACTAACTCCATACTTGGAAATAGTCTGAGAGACCAACCCTTGGAGGAGAATAGAGTCTCAGAAAAGATGATAAGCCAGAGCAAAGTGAGCGGGACACTGATACAACCAAGGTCGAGAAAAGTTTATTTCTAGCTAAACCATATCAGAATAAAACTATTGGTCACAAAAACAGAAACAGAAACAATAGCAGCTTCACTTAAATCCACTTTATTAACGACAGGACTTTATGCACAGTATAGTTGTCTGCTGTTGTTCAGTAATTCAATAGAGGAAAAGTAGACAATGTTAATCATGGAGAGGAAACTATATACACTTTTAATATTTTATTTGATGGTACAGACCATAACTCGATCATTACATATAATAACTTAATCCCCTAATAGGAGACTGAACCAGAAAAGAAAACAGAAGTTTCAGCTGCAGCACAAATGATACAGGACGTGAATTGCCAAACACATTGAGAAATATTTGAAAAAAACCACAATCATTTTAACCCCACCTTTTCAAGTAAAAACTGAAGTTGTAAACAGAATATTACATGAAGACATTACTTAGAAAACAGAACTTAAGTCATGGGATGTTGCCCAAACTGATGTGCTAAATTATTGGTGTAATTTCCTGTATCACTCACTAGAATTTCTTTTTCTTAATGTTCAATTCTAATGGTGCTAAACGGCAAAATATCTATCTGCTAAACCTGTTAAAGCCATAGAATGATCATGTTTAAGGCAAATAAGCAATGGTTAAGGTAAGACCTATACACAGTTAGTTAAGATTAGCAAAAGGTCAGTACAATTAAAAGGTGAACAACAATTGCAGGCTGCACTGGACACATCTATAAATAATGTGTAATTTACATAAGTAATACTGAGTTTAACAATTAAATTAAACTTAAGAATTAAAGCACAATTAAAGATATGGCTCTGAGCAATATTAAACTGTACATTGTCAATGGTTACATATTCAGTGTAATAAATAAAGACCAAATAAACAATTTTAAGGACGGTAAAATGAAATGGAATAAATAAATGGCTGCAGTTATATGAAACCCAAACTAGCCTTAAACCCTGGGAAGTTGACCCCAGGACACACAATAAGGTCCCCCATCTCCCATAGCACCAAGACATGTCGCTCTGCAGATTTGTAATTCTTAGTAGTTTATTTTTTGTATCTCTCTGTGGTTGTTTTTATTCTCTTCGTGATCATTTTATGTCTCCCTGTAGAAACCTATTGAGGGCCATCAGATTTAATTTCGGGAGGGTTCACTTGCGTTGCTGATATATTCTGCTGCTTTAACCAGTAAACTCTATAACCCTGGTCTTGTAAAAGTGCCTGCCAACAGCCACAATGTTCTCTAAAATAAATACTAAGAAACAAGCAAGTTCAGGTTTTACAAACCATGACCACGTGAGATGCAGTTTATCTTCTATTATGAATAATCCACATTTCCATATATATTTTCTGTGTGATTCATTCGTTGACCCATCTGACCCGGAGGGGCCTGCAAAAACAGAACTTAGGTTACATGTACTTTTTTGCCTTAGTTACAATGTTATTATATTACAACCATTTACTGTAAATGTAAAGTATAGTAGTATAGTACATATTGTAAGTCGCTTTGGATAAAAGCGTCAGCTAAATGCAATGTAATGTAATGTAATGTCTAGTACCTCGACGTTGTTGTAGACAGGTTCATCAATGGCTTTCAGTTCAGAAGTGTTCTCGTTCTCTTGAGTCTTGATAGATGCGTTTCTGAAAAGACAAACAGACATGTTTGGATTCTAATTTGAGAAACAAAATGTGTTATTTTATCTGCAACTTGCGAACAACTTGTGGAATAATAGTTTTCACTAGACTAAAACCTCTTTGTGAGTCTAGTCTTAACTCTTTACAGATGATGAAGTCGTGTATCCTCTTGTGAATCCCGCAAGAATAACTCAGAAACAGAGAACACTGTGACGAAGCCTAAAGACTGTGTGGTTTAAATATATTCATGTGAGTTCTTCTTCTTATTGTATTATAACTATTTATAGATTCATGTGACATCTCTGCATCATATTTTCATAGCTTAGTTTGTCCTGATAAGAAGGATGTATATTTCTACAGTACAGGGTAAAGGTAGCATATTATTTTACAGAAGGAGACTATAAGCAACCAAACACTTGAAAGAAGGATTTAGAGTAATTTCACAATTTAACAACAAATCAATAATACTTTCCATTTGTATGATGCCTTAATATGATAAACTTAGACAAAATAGAGCCTATCTTTTAAATAAAGCTTAAATGCTAGAGGCTACTTTATTTTCCCCATATATTATACATTTCCAAACAAACAGCCTAGGATGGGTCAATAAATAGCAATAATTTAATTCACAATAAATATCATGAAACAAACCTTTTCGCTTGGTTTGATGATACTCGGCTAAAATTGGCGTAATATCCAGATTCTTCCCTGGTCAAAGGTAGTGACCTGCCAAATATGACAATGAGATATCAGTCTTCCATTTGAGCAGAAATGTGAGCTTATATAAAACAAACACATTTAAAAAAGAGAACCCCTCCAGACATTTTTACTTTACTTCACTAATGCATCAAGAAAGACAAACACAAGGACCAGTCATGACACAAAACAAGAAATTAACAAGTTACCTTTTGTTTTTTAAGAAAAAGAAAATTCCAGCCACACAAATAATGATCAGAAGTGCAGCAACAGGTACACAGATGGCTGTATACATTACTGGAGAAGATTCCTGGATTGTAGCCATTGTGGAGGATACTGTAATATCTGTGGACATTTTTTTTTAAATTGAAATTTAATTACAGATTTAAACTTTTAAATGTTATAATGAAACTGTCCTTAGAAGAAAACTGTAAACGTACTTGTAGTATCTTCAAAGGTTGGTAATGGTTGTGGTATAATATCGGAAAAACAAAGTAGTTTCATTAAAATGACATTTTACCCTACTTTTTTAAAGAGAAATAAACAACAGCAAATTAAGGAATACTCAGAAACACATTATATACATTTAAATGATGTGCTTAAAGGTTATACCTGACGCATGAATGGCTGGGATCACTACACCTGTGAAAAAAGTTCTGGTTTATTTCTTCTTTTTAATTTGTATATATGTACTTTAATGAAATGTACTCAAATTCTTACCAGACACAGATATGGAGACATAGTCTTTTCTGTAACTGTACATCCATCCCTCTCCGGTAGCTCTCATATAGATTTTTAGTTGTTCATCCGTGAAGTTAAAGATAAAGAGGGAGCAGTTTTTTTGGGTTACACTTCCTAAGAGCTTGGTCTTTCCTCTGTACTTCTCATTCACAAGTCTTTCATTCGGGTGAAAAACGAATACATCTGGGTCTCTGTCCAATTGAAAGTTACTTCTCTCAAATGTTTTCCAGTACACTTTAACATTTTCAGAAGATTCCTTTGGCGGATAGGTAAAGCTACAATCTATGGTCACGTTTGAGCCCAGTGCTGCTTGAATGTTTCTTTTGACAATAACATTCCAATTTTGATTTGTGTGACCTGTGTTAAAGAATAAACGAGAATTATTTACATTTAAGTGCATACTTCGTTAGAGGACATTCAAGACAAGCACAAATATGTCACACACCTTCTGAGGTCAGCATCAGTATGAGGCTAAGACGAATCAGGCTCGGCAGCTTCATCTGACCAAAGAAAGACACTCAGAGGTTAACCAACATAATCCTGACACCTTACAGTGCCCTGGGTTCTATCTCATCTGGAAGCCTACATGTGACAACATTGTGAAGTTAAACTGCCTGTATTTTCTAGTAAGCAAATACTCACTGTGAGAGGGAGTCCGAAGAGTTTGCAGGGCTTTTTGTGCTTTGGCATATGACATTATATCTAAATATTGGTGTGAAATTGGGGGGTGTTTCCTGTTTCAGGGTGAGTTGAAGAAAAAAGGAAGTTGCCTCAGAAAAGTGAACACTGACCGCGTTCTGACTCTATTTTTGAAAAACATAAACAAGCAGTGTAAACCTCACGTCAGCACTCACTTCTGATGACTGTCAAACTTTTATTAAAACATAAATGAACAAAAACTCAACACTAAAAAGACAGGTAATAAGAATACACAGGGTAATTACAGTGATCAACAACACTTTCCATGTGTAAAATGTCCTGATAAGATAGACTTCGAGAAATGTGAAAATATATTTTAAATCTGTTCACACAGTGTTGCCAGTACTGTATATGACTTTCGGGGTTGAGACTAGTAAACTGATTTTGAATCTGTTGTTATTATGGGTAATGGGGTATCATTTGGTAGTTGCAAAAGAAAAAGGTTACCAAAGGTCAAATCAATTTAGCTCAGAATTACACATGACACAATAATTTGCCTCAATGGTTATTGTTTCTGTACAATTATACATTACACCACATTAGACCTTCAACTCAAGAAGTCCATGAGATGTTTGGGCACTAAATAAAAACATCAACAACTAACTGTTAAGGAAATGAGAGGGCAAAGAAGAGTGGCTCAACCTGGTGGAAAATAGATCAAACTACAACTTTGAAGCCAGATGTAACAGAATGCATGCTTAATTAAAGCTTTAGTTGTTTTAGGAACAACTGTGTGGTTTAATAGTAACGTGACTTCACTTTTGGTTAGACGTATTGTTGGCGCTGAGGTTGAACTTCTGAAATTCAAGGAAATAAACTTGTATCCTTGACAAAATGTTTGTCCTATGCATCAACACAGCCATTTTTATAAAAAAATACAAATCAAATACTCAAATAGTAAAAAATCATATATTTCGGCTAATATTTTAAGACCAATTCTCTTAAATCGCGGTTAATGATATTGAGACAACTTTTGGTGCTTGCCTCTGTTAAAGGAAACCACTAGATGGGGTGAGACTCGCTCGGAAAAGTGAACTTTGACACTCGACTCCACCTGGAATGTGGGCCAAACTCGGATCTCAAGGTGCAGTCATATGACTCCCTGATGGAAGTGAGAGTGGGAGACCCTACAAGCTGGAAATGGTTGCTGAAACTCCTTCAACAGGTTTTGTGATCCTGAACGTCTCCTGCTGTCTGACGTCAGTCCTTGAGCTCCAGAAGAGTTTCGGGAAGAGACGCTTTGTTTAAGTCGCAGTAGTCTGCAGGAGGATGAAAGTTTGTTGTCTGTTGACATACTCTTCTTCACCTGTGCGTGGTTTGACCGTGACTACCCCAGGCACACATGGAAGATCTGAATGACGGAAGTCCGGGGCACACAGACGCAGAGGAGACACGCTCCCCGGACATTCCCCGGTCAGATGTCCGCTCCGAGAGGAGGGTAGCAGCGGTCAGCTCCACTGCTCTGCCCGCCGCACGACTCACCTTACCCGGGGTCATGGACGCAGAGGGGAGGGTCGATGAGTCAAGACTGAGGATGTATATTTTCAAAAACGGTATATCTATCTATCTATCTATCTATCTATCTATCTATCTATCTATCTATCTATCTATCTATCTATCTATCTATCTATCTAGATCTATCTAGATCTATCTAGATCTATCTATCTATCTATCTATCTATCTATCTATCTATCTATCCATCTAAACATCTAAACATCTAAACATCTAAACATCTAAACATCTAAACATGTGCTTGCACGTTTAAGTGATCTTCCTAAATTGCCTTTATATAGCATTTTTATAGCTTGATATTCATATTCATTATAACAAACTTTACCATGTTTTACATGCAACACAAGTTCATGAGGCTTGGTTTGAAGTAGAGACTAATGACAGGTCAAAATAGGCCAAGTTGAAATCTTAAATAATCCCATAATGCCCATTTAGAAATATAAACTCTGCTAATCCAGTGAAATTCAAGTTTGAAAGAACATGTGTACGTTTCTGTAACACAGTGTAATATGATGGTGCTTGGCATGTGGTTTTATAATAAGATAAAAATGAATATGTTTTTACACACTGAACACCGTCTTGATGAGACCTAATATTATTCTGAAAAGGCCTTTGTGTTTGGGTTAGGGTCAGTGATTTGCTGCTACACTTGGTTATTAAAAAGGGATTTTTATTATAATATGTGTCCAGATGCATCAATGAATGCAGATGCATCCTTTCCTACAGACAAGAAGAAAGTCAAGTGATGCTTTGCTTCAAGGCATTAGATGAGCCACAGTCCAACCATTCTCTAAAATACAACATTGCATTGTGCCTCTGAGCCCCTCGAGCAAAGAACCCCAGCGTGACTTCTGTAAAAACAACAGATACCATTTCGGCAGTTGGTAAGATTTCTTAGCTAGCTTCTAAATAAAATCACATGAGATTCACCAGACAAAAACAATCAGTGACATGTGTGACACTAAAAAATGATATTACTTCCGGAAGAGCATTTCTGAAGTGGCTCCAGTGCATACATATGTGCCCTGTCCTAACACAGCCCTCAGACTGCCACTGAACTGGACCAGGCAAAGCACAACATACATCTACACAGAGGAGTTGCTGCTTGATTAAAACTTCACTCTGAATCTATCATCCATGAGCAGGAATGTGAAAACTCACCCTGCTTTTCTCTTGCCTTTTGACCTTTCTGCACATTCCACCCCAGAGACCAAAGATTAAAGAACCTGCAGAGCGAAACATTATATAAGACATCTCAAATCCTAATGAAACTAGGCTAAAGTTCACCAAATGTTCCTAAAGATTCCCTCTTTTCTCAGCTTCAAAGCTCTAATCCTTGCATGTGATCGGTTCAATGTGTTTGTTTTGGTCTGGTGGAGATACATTTGTCTGGATGATAATAGGTAATCTGGGTTTAAAGACACTGCAGAGTCAGTTATATTGATGACTGTAGTAAATAATTAAAAGTTTTCAATCCCTGTCCAGGTGGCGTGTGTCCCTCTGAGCGGGGCCTTGTGTGGCGTTTCCTGTTTGGGATGTACCCATGCAGCTCGACAGCTTTGGAGCGCTCTCTGCTGCAGGAGCAGATGGTGGTACGTTATCAGGTCATGAAGAGAAAGTGGCAGCAGTTCCTTCCAAAGGCCGTACGGATGCACCTCAACGGCACTGATGGTAAAACCCAAACATGCAACATCAAAGTAAAAGAAAGACTCCTAATTGTGTCAACCTTTCAGTCTTTTTTTAAACTTCTATGAACACATTGTCCTGTCTTTATTCCAGCCGAGTTGGTGGCAGCAGTCAGGCACTTTGACCAGAGGCAGGCTCAGGCCCAGCAGCAGACCCAGGACCAGTCAGAGGAGGTCAGGGACAGACTAGCTTTCTTGGAGCTTCAGGCACAGGTTAGAGGAGTCATTTATATCATTGTATTATTCTGTCTATTTAATCTATTCTACTTCATATTTCTTTATCAACATGTTGGCTTTGGGTCTGACTTCTTGATTTCTGTAGGCCGAATAAATATAGGTTCTTTGCCTTAATTTGGTGTAAGAGATGTGTGTTTAAAGGGGGGCAGGAGGAGGGGGAGTATATTTAGAGTAGTTACGCAACAGGATCTAATTATTTTAAACAACTAGTTTAGCATTTATTTACATATGGTATTGTTGGCTCTCTTTGTTCTTGATGTATTGTTAAGCCCTTTTGTCTTGGGAGTGTTTGCACTTATGAACAGCTGATATACATTTGAGCATTGAGATACTTCAAACGCAGCTTCAACATAATGACCCTAGTTTACAACCCTTAAGTTATGATTCCTATTGAAAATGCAAAAGCAATATTAAGTGCATTTAAATGTATGATCTCGACTAAAGCAGTTCACACAGACTATATAAAGTGGTCTAATCTACGTGTCTTTCCTGTTACCAGATATTGTTTGAGCGCGTCACGTTTGACCAAGATGAGCTGCGAGAAGCCACAAGGATTATTGACAAAGATGTGCCGAGAACAAACAGAGACCTGAGCTATTACCAGTGAGTGATTGGCGACTATTGTTGTCTTTTTGATATACTTAAGACACGTCCACAAATGTGTTCAAATATGAAGTCTTGTGAGCTGTGAAGTGCTCTGACTTTAAATAAACACTGGACAAAATAAATGAACCAAACTTAATGTGGGAGATACAAAGACACTCTGTTGCCGCTCAGGCTTCTGCGATATACAAAGATAACATTAATTTGAAAACAATATATTTAAAAAAAAAAGGGAAACATGCAGAGCTTCATTTAAATTTAAAATACATCAATATTGTATTAAATGGAACTTTGAAGTAAAAGTATATTAAAGAATACAATCATTTTAAGTAAACAAATTAAACAAGTGAACATTTTGTTCATTGTTACTGCCATATACATATAAGGGAGCAACTATGATCATAACTTAAATGGTAAATGGACTGTACTTATATAGCGCTTTATCCAGTCTTTAAGACCCCTCAAAGCAATTTACATACTACATGTCGTTCACCTATTCACACCCATTCATACAGAGCAGTGTACCTAACTCTAGGACCTAACATTCACACACATTCTCACACCGTTGGCCATGCCATCGGGAGCAACTCAGGGTTAAGTATCTTGCCCAAGGATACATCGACATGTTGACTGCATGGGCTGGGATCGAACCCACAACCTTCTGGTTGAAAGACGACCGCACTCCCTCGCAGCCACAGTCGCCCTGCATTAACTTAAATGTCTGTAAATTACAAACTTACAACTATATAGAGAAATATTGTAAAACGTCCTGCTTTGTATAGTGCACATCCAATTCTGCACTGTTCCACTCAGTCTGCTCACTTGTGTCTGCAGGGAGGAAGGTTTGGGGAATCTGTTGGTGTTGAGAGATATCCTCATCACATATGCTGCGTTTCATCCAGGTAAACACTGAAAATGAGCTCACCTCAGGTTTTATTAATACAAAAAAATAAAACATACATTACAGAGGGTGTTTGTTGATTATTCAAAACTTTAACACTCGATTGTTGATCCAGAGGTCAGTTATGCACAAGGAATGAATGACCTGTGCAGCCGGTTCCTGGAGGTCCTCGACTCTGAGGTGGACACTTTCTGGAGTTTCTCCTGTTACATGGAGAAGTTCTCCAAGGACTTCAGGGCGGATGGTCTGCACAGGAAAATAGGTGTGATTACCATAATGAAATACAAATGTATGTTTATTAAATGCTAGATGTTGTGAATTAGGTTTTGTTCCTTAAAGCTATCACAGAAAAGGTTTAGGACCTCTAGTGGTAAAACAATATATTGGAAACAATCATTCCAGTACATTCAATCAACTGTCATACTTATCTTTATATTATATTTAATATTTGAGTGTTGGGATTTGTTTCTCGTGTACTGTTTTGGATAACTTCAGAAATAAATACAGATTTCTAAAAAGCCTTTATTAATGCAATCAGACCACACACATCCTGGAACTTGACTTTCATGTTATCTTAACTGCACATTAAGTCTAATGTTATCGTAGTGACAAAATCTGTCAACAAACACTCACTCGCAAGGTGTACAAACATTGCTGTTGCCAAATCTATTGCTATTAACAATGTTCTAATACAGATCTAATACAGAAAGTTCAGTCGATAAATGAATTCAAAGTCTACTGTGTAAAGATGTGAACTAGTTGTGTTTAATGTATTTTAGAGTTGGAGGCAGCACTGTTGAAGGAACTGGATCCTTCACTTTATGCTCATTTGGTCTCAGACAGCATGGAGAGCTTCACCTTCTGCCACAGGTAGATTTAAATTGATCCTTGGTAATTTAATCTTTATTTCTGAATTTTGGTTTATATTCAATATATTTTTGTATGCAAATGTTGTGTGTTTTTCAAGGTGGCTGCTGCTTGGTTTCCAGAGGGAGTTTGAACATAGTGACGCATTACGTTTATTTGAGATCCTGAGTTGTGACCATCTGGAGCTTATCTCCCAGCAAGTAGACCGAGCCCGTTATCAGGAAAGGCTGGCACGAAACTGCAGCACAGGTGAAACAAAGAACTCAAGTTGGCAGCATTAAAAGGAGATTAATGGGGAGGGATAGTTCCCTCTGTTAAATGTCTGACTTTAATGCAGTGATATGTCTTTGCAGAGGACCATTCAGAGTCGCAGCTGCAGGCCATCAACACTGACTTCACATTTGAGCTCTTCATCTGTGCAGCCATACTGTTGGAGAACAGAGAGTCTCTGCTGCGGTGCCGCGATGATGTGCAGCTTATCCAGTTTACTAGCAGGTTTGTCTGAATGCTAAAAAAAAATATTTGTTTTTTGTTGATGTGAATGTTCTGGTTAAACCTTTGCTTTTTCATGCAGTCTTCAGGGAACACTGGACCTGAACAGCACGCTGAAGAAAGCAGAGCGCCATTTGTACAACTACTGCAAGCGCTGTGCGTGGGACTATATGAATGAGTGCTGCAGAGCAGACATCAGCACAGAAGAAGACTTTCTTTATCAACTCCGTAGTTTACTTGTATTAAGGTGATAGCTACTATTTAAATACATGATGTGAAACACTTAAGAAACTGTAATTTAGTACAAGGGACATGCAATCCTTATTTCAAGTGTTGATGACAAATATGCTTCCCTTTTTTTTTATTTCTGAGGGAAACACACTAATGGCTTCTTACCTTAAGTTACTGCTGTTTATTATAAATGTACAGTATTTATTTTATGTCAGTTGACCAACTGTAAGTTATTTAGTTGCTATCCTGAAGGATTTATTTTCCTGGGTTATGCAATATTCAACTTCTAGAAGAAAAACAACTACTCTGCAGGCGTGTGTGAATACTAAGATCTGGTGTGTCGCAACAGGTGGTATCTCTGCAATGAACTGCAGTTATACCAATGCCAGATGGCCCACGTGTCAAAGAGGCCTATAACAGGAATAGACCCAGAGAGTCCTGCAGAAAGGGGAAGGAACACTTTCTGCACTACTGTGTCTTAAATATTAAATGAAAAATGATACCTCAATTAAACTACTCAAGATTGTTTACTATGTGGTGTTTGCAATATCCATGTTGAGTTTTTTTTATATATAGGCTGTGTTAAGGTAAATCAGCATTGACTCGGAACACTTTTTTTTGTTGATGCACAGGTAATAAATCAACTTGGATAAAAAGTATGATGGAGAATTTTAAATATAGGAAGCAAAAGCTGATTTGGTGCCTTTTATGATCAAACATCTGCTTAAATGGATTGACTGCATGATATTGTTAGAATAACCAAAATTAAAAAGTATTTTGAAAATGTAACATTGTGTAGTCTTCCATGTCCCAGCAGTGTTTCCATGAGAGCATGCAGTATTACCCATGTTCAGGAACTACCTTTTGCTAAAATATATTTCTCAAACATTAATTTAGTTTGGTTTGGATGCCAAATCAAAGCCCAATCTTACATTTTGAATGTCACCTTCTCTCTATTTTCCTTAACTAGCAGATGGCTACAGAGGGGACAACAGCACGCTTTATTTAAATTACATTTAGTCAATAAGCAGACACATGGGCCTAGAACTTTCCTTGGTGGTCACCTGACACCCTGATGGGCTCTTGCTTTATATACACTGGAAAGCAGAGACACTCGTCCTCTTATTCCGCCTGCCACGAGAGGGAAAGGAGCCGGTGCTGGAGAGGAGTGTTCTGTGCTGGTCAAAAACTAAGCGCCGCTCTAACTTAGTAAACTGTCAAGTCTTGAACGTCTGACAACAAGGTAACCCCTTCTATATAAAGCATTTCACTCAGCCTGGCATCTTAGTCTGTTTTGCTTGCTGCTTAAAAGCCTTAGTGCAAAATCTAAGAAGTAATCCCTAATCAGAGTGAGGCCTGCATGGTTTCTGTCAAACAATAGCATGGCAAGCTGCAGTAGAAATCCTATGAAAAAACACAGTTCAGTGACTGTCCAGTTAAAAAAAAATCCCTTGTGGAAGCATTGGGGCGTAGTAAACTATGTAATTCAACTAGTAGTTTAACTCCATTTTGCATTGGCCTGCTGTTAGTTCATCTGAATTCATATTTGCACGGTGATATACATTTTCTGCCATTATTTGTAGTATTTAACTACTTAAAACTGCAAGCAATGTTCGGCCCTAAAAGGAAATATGTAATACTGTAACTGAAAACCTATGATCCTCTTCTCACAAGTTAAAGGATATGTACTTTATCAAGTGGTCTAGGAAGGTTATTTATCACATGTTTAATTTGATCCTTTTTATTTTACAAGTAGCTTGAACTACTTTGTCTTATAGTTAACCAAAATATGGGTCTTTTCCCTAGGTTGGGTGCTGTCAAGGTAGCTTCCCCAACACTGCCCTTTAAATTATTGTGAACATTCTTTTCTATGACATAACATATAATTCAAGTCAATTCAGTCAATTCAATTTGATTATGTCTCTTCAGGATTGCCTCAACCAGAGGAAACTGAATAGCATACCGTTATAGAAACAGCCTCCATATGTATATCACTGACTCACAGGCCGTGGTGTTGTTCCAACATAACTTTATGGAACTGCACTGGCAAGTTCCACATGTGGGCTTGGGTAAGGCTGTGAAGCAACAGCGTTGTGTCAGCAGTTGCTGCTCTGTGTTACGCAAGTGGATAACAAGTGATAATTCAATATTCCCTTCCAGTGTAAGCACTTCTTCGACATTATAGAGCTTCTACTTTGACCTATTTAGCAAACATAGCATAGAATGAAAATAATCACAAAAAAGGTTTAACTTTAATCAAGGCAGTTTTTGCTCTGTAATTAGTTAGAATATTTGTGTGAAATATGTGTTATGTGGTTTCTTTGCTGTATTAAATGTCATTTCCTGCCTCTGGTGGTTTTGACACAGCTCAACCCCAAGAAGTGCACAAACAGAAAGCTTTTATTTTGCTCTTCATTAGGCAAACATGTTGTTACTGCACCTCAAGACTGTACTTCTCTGATTGTATTATGTTGTATACATAATTTTTTAAGGAAACCTGGTAAATCTTGTATATTAGGCACTGATTAATGACCTGTTCACGAGTGACCTTTCATTCATTGCCATATACTGATGCCAATTATAGTTACTGTAAGCTATTTGGAGCCAGCTGTCGGAATATAGTCACACTGATCACTATCCCAGGATCAGTACATCACATTTCACCAGCCTAACTGTGGCTCAGGGAGTGGAGAGGGAAGGGGTTTGGAGAGGGAATTAAAGGGTAGTGTTACATGGTCCAGTCATTGGGTCTCCAGTGTCAGAAGATGGTTTAGGCCACTACGTACAAAATGGGTGCCACATCCCTGCTAGCCTCACGTGGCCTGCATCTGGACTTATGTAACAGGGATAGAAACACATGTGTACACACCTTGAGTAGGTACATGTGCGTGTACATAGTGTGTTTACAATACTACAAGGAAATATCTTGATGTACCAAACAATATCAACCATAATTATTTAATGAAATATAAACCTGTATTCAGTGAATTCATGCAATAAAATTGAATTTACCATAAAGAAAAAAGGTCAACATCACATTTCTTGTATCTATTTTCTTTTATTGAAGATGTCTAAAGGACCAGCAATTGGCATTGATCTGGGCACCACATATTCCTGTGTGGGCATCTTCCAGCATGGCAAAGTGGAGATCATTGCTAATGACCAAGGAAACAGGACCACACCCAGCTATGTGGCCTTCACAGACACTGAGAGGCTGATTGGAGATGCCGCGAAGAACCAGGTGGCCATGAACCCAACCAACACTGTATTTGGTAAGGACAGCAACACCAACAAAACAATAGCTTCAGAATCAGTGATGCTCAATGAATATATGACTTACAGAGATGTATTTCACTTTAATGTCCTTTAGATGCTAAGCGCCTGATCGGTCGTAAGTTTGACGATCCTGTAGTGCAGTCAGATATGAAGTACTGGCCCTTCAAGGTTGTGAATGATGCAACCAAGCCCAAGATGGAGGTTGAATACAAGGGGGAGATCAAGAGCTTCTTCCCCGAGGAGGTTTCCTCGATGGTCCTCACCAAGATGAAGGAGATCTCTGAGGCTTATCTCGGCAAGGTAAATGACAATAAGTGTATGACCCTCTTCTCAAAATGACCGATTCTCCAGTGTATGGAATCAAAGCAATTCCCTCTGAATCACAAGACATTGTGAGAAAAAGTATTTTTAAGTGTCTTAAACCACATACAGAATTGTAAAAAGTACACTAGTTTAAACACACCAGTGGCGAGCCGTGAGCTTTATACCTAGGCCCTCTGACCCCCACCCCTTCCCTCGAAAAAAAGGAAAAAAAATAGTTATTACGTCACAGCGTATACTTCAGCGGAATATCAAAACAACGGCCCAGGGTGCAAAACGCATCAATGACAGCGACCCTCTACCACACAAAACAACACCTGTGAACCCAATTTGTGTTCTTTGACATTGAAAATGATATTGCATTGTGTTTGTTACTTTCGTTACAGTTGTATGTCTTACGTGTAATTTGGCATGCTTTTATTTTGAAGGCGAGTTCACGCTGTTGACAGGAAGTTGTTGTTCCTATGGAAAACAAGAAAAGTTTCACAGCGGGCGGAACTTGTCATAAAGTCCCGCGATAATGAAACCCACCCATTTAGAGGGAAGATATGATTGGTCAATTGTACTGTCATTTGACATTACTCTCTCGTTCAGTTACTATAGCGGGCCCTCTGTGAATCGCAGAGAGGGCCAGACCTTCTTTCATGTAACCCTTCACATTCAAACAGAGACCGAACAGGCAGATTCGAAGGATTTATTTCTTTGGAAATGTTATTTTATTAAATCAAGTTTTTTTTCCGTAAAACTAATGAAAAATATAACAAAAATAATATAAAAAAAATATATATTTTTAAAAAAAAATTTTTTTTTTAATGTTTTTAAATATTATTTTTTGGAATATCTTAGGCCCTCACAGAGGGCCTAGAGGGCCCTGACGGCTCGCCACTGAAACACACATATGCTTTTTGTTAACTTAATATTCTCCTGTCTTTACAGGCCGTGAATAATGCAGTTATCACAGTTCCTGCTTACTTCAATGACTCCCAGCGTCAAGCCACCAAAGATGCTGGGACCATTGCTGGCCTGAATGTGCTGCGCATCATCAATGAACCCACTGCTGCAGCTATTGCTTATGGCCTGGACAAAAAGGTAACTAAATAATAAAATGTGGACCTTAATCTCTTTCATGGAATACCTTTAATAATATTTGCCATTTATTTCAGGTTGGCGGTGAACGTAATGTCCTTATCTTTGACCTTGGAGGTGGTACTTTTGATGTGTCAATCCTGACCATTGAGGATGGCATCTTTGAGGTCAAGTCCACAGCCGGTGACACTCACTTGGGTGGTGAGGACTTCGACAACCGCATGGTTAACCACTTCATTGCTGAGTTCAAGCGCAAGTTCAAAAAAGAAATCAACGACAACAAGCGAGCTGTGCGTCGTCTGCGCACAGCCTGCGAGCGTGCCAAGCGCACCCTGTCCAGCAGCACTCAGGCCAGCATTGAGATCGATTCCCTCTATGAAGGAGCAGATTTCTACACTTCCATCACCAGAGCCCGTTTTGAAGAGCTCAACGCAGACCTGTTCCGTGGAACCCTCGAGCCCGTGGAAAAGGCCCTGAGGGATGCCAAGATGGACAAGGGACAGATCCATGACATTGTCCTGGTGGGTGGCTCCACTCGTATACCCAAGATTCAAAAGCTGCTGCAGGATCTTTTCAATGGACGTGAACTGAATAAGAGCATCAACCCGGATGAGGCTGTGGCTTATGGTGCATGTGGGTATCTCTACAGCATTTACATTTATAAACATTGTCCAGTCATATTTCTATTTTAGTATAACATGTGTTGTTCAAACATGATTACATGGTTTGTATTAATTTGTTCCTGTTGTCATTTGGAAACAGCTGTGCAAGCAGCCATTTTGTCTGGTGATAAGTCTGAGAATGTACAGGACCTGCTCCTGCTGGATGTCACACCCCTGTCCCTGGGAATTGAGACCGCTGGAGGAGTAATGACTGTCCTTATCAAAAGGAACACCACTATCCCCACCAAGCAAACCCAGACCTTTACCACCTATTCAGACAATCAGCCTGGTGTACTTATTCAGGTAGACAGACATTGCAGTTATGGTCTAAACAAATACCAGTTCCCCATCCATTGTCCCAGTTTATTACATTACTCTTGAAAGTGTTCACTGACAGAATCTAAATGTTTCAGGTTTTTGAAGGTGAGAGAGCCATGACCAAGGACAATAACATCTTGGGCAAGTTTGAGCTGACCGGTATTCCACCTTCTCCCAGAGGAGTCCCTCAGATTGAAGTGACCTTTGACATTGATGCCAATGGCATTCTAAATGTGTCTGCGGTGGACAAAAGCACTGGAAAAGAGAACAAGATCACCATCACCAATGACAAAGGTAGGTAACCATATTAAACACTGATAAAGCACAAAAGCTGAAGGAATACTGCGCTTGAACATGGAGAATAAAAAACTATTCCATGCAAGGTAAATAGCTTTGTAATGTATTCCTCCATAGGGCGGTTGAGCAAGGAGGACATTGAGCAAATGGTGCAGGAGGCTGAGCAGTTCAAGGCTGAGGACGAGATACAGAGAGAAAAGGTCACAGCCAAGAACTCACTCGAGTCTCTGGCCTTCAACATGAAGAGCACCGTGGAGGACGAGAAGCTCCAAGACAAGATCAGCCCTGAGGACAAAAAGACCATCGTAGAAAAGTGCAACGAAGTCATTGCCTGGCTCGACAGAAATCAGGTATATACTGTTGACTGAACCATGATTCACAAGTTCCTCTTTGGCTGGCATTGTGAAAGCAGTGTTCGTGCACTTTGTGAAGCAATCACTTCCCTTCCAGATAATGTTCATGCAGACAACCATGTACAAACCTAAAAAGTAATATCTGACAACAAATGTTTTGTTCCCTCTGTTACATAGACGGCAGAGAAGGATGAGTACGATCATCAGCAGAAGGAACTAGAAAAGGTGTGCAAACCCCATCATCTCCAAGCTATACCAGGATGGGATGCCAGGTGGGATGCCAGGAGGGATGCCAGGTGGGATGCCAGGAGGGATGCCAGGTGGGATGCCTGGAGGAATGCCAGGAGGAATGCCTGGAGGTTTCCCTGGTGGAGCTGGAGGCGGCTCCTCCTCTGGCCCTACCATCGAGGAGGTCGACTAAAAACAAGGCAGACAGTGTCTTCATCTCAGATCCCAACAAACGCTTATTGCCATTAAAGCTATATAGACAAAATACACATCTAATAAACTGAAGATCATGGGATTGTTTTCATTAACATTATGGATCAATTAAAATACTCAGTCACATAAGAAATAATCAAAGTCTGTTTGTTGTCTTCATTATTTCTCTCTCAAATTATGATTTACACGAGGTAGACAAAGACATGCCTTTTTATCATTGGTGTTTAAGCATTTAATCAATAAAGATCACCAATGGGATTCTGATTTGCATAATCAACTGTGTGGTTCTTTTTATTATTTACTATTTTAATCCCATTACATATCTGAATAAACCATTTAAGAAGGAGAAGAAGAAGAAGAAGAAGAAGAAGAAGAAGAAGAAGAGGAGAAAAAGGAGAAGTAGGGAAAATAAGTTGTTCACTCTGCTACTCATTACATGCATAACAGTTCTACATTATGCACATACTGTAGGTAAAATGCACATATGAACATATGCACAAGCACAAACATATCAATACATTATCAGAGAGGTGTCAGAGTGAAGTGGCTACCAGTGTTCTTTGCCTTGCTCTACCAATGAGGTAAACTGGCACCTCTCCAGCTACAGAAGATTAATTAGTGCATAAAATAGTTTTGCAAGGGAAGTCTCGAGATGCAGATGCTTAAGATAAAACTGGTTCCTGTTCACAGACCACTAAGGTTGTGATTAATATCTTTTTTTCTGTGAGTTAACATATTTTACAGGAAATAACAACTTTGTAAGATCCGATAAGAAAGGTGTTGCTGTAATACAAAGGGCATGTGTTGCTTCTAACCAATGAAATGATTTAACAACAATGTGTTTGCAAAGCCATGACCTTTGTGCACAAGAACAGGCCAAACAGGAACATAGGAATAAGTATATGATCAGGTGTTCTCTTCCCATACTTATCACCGAAGCCGTGTGTCTGTGTGTGTGTGTGGGGGTGTGTGTGTGTGTAACTACAGTATAAGTCTCAGGGTCATGCGTGGGGGATACAAACATATAAAAGGCAGCGTTTCCCAGATCTGACATTCAGGAAAAGTGAGACGTGACCATGTTCTTCCTTGTTAGTTGTTTTGCTCTTGTGGTCTCTGCACTGGGTAAGTGTCTGGCGGTTTACCAGCAGATGCATTATCTGTAGAAAATCTTTCTGTGACTGTGTGCTAGAACACTTATTGGTATATACATTCACAACATTGGAACAAGCATTTCCATTTTTGATTAGAGCTGTGTATTCGCAAGAATCTGGCATTACATATCAAGATATAATTGTGATTGAATATACTGCGATGCTGTAATAGCAGCCACATTGTAATTTTCTAAAGTCTTATTTTAGGGAAACAGTCATACTAAACACATCACTATATGCATACAATCGTTTAAAAATAGTTACTACTACACAATCAGAACAGTGGGATCTGCATTTGCATTTATTGCAGTCTGTAAAATCATAGCACTACATTGAGAGGGTACATACTGAATCTATGCAGATAAAATAAAAATATTTACTGAGTTGTTTCGATGTAACTTATACATGTAAAGTTAATTTAAGCTATTTTTGTGAATTGATCACGAAATATACTATTGCATTACTAAGTGTATTCTTCTTGTACCCCTTTTTTCGTTTGTGTGATTTGGCCTCAGGGTGTGGAGTACCTTCTATCAGGCCCCAAGTGAGAGGTAACGACAAGATTGTAAATGGACAGAACGCTGTGTCTGGATCCTGGCCCTGGCAGGTCTCCCTTCAGGTAACCCGAGTAATAAAAAGTTAATCTGTAATTCAGAAAATTACAATATTGTTAATATGTATGTTATAACTGTAGGACGGTAGGGGATTCCACTTCTGTGGAGGATCTCTGATCAGCCAGAACTGGGTTGTCACTGCTGCTCACTGCCGCGTGTCGTAAGTCATGTCCCACATCTAAATGAGGAAAGTCCCAACATGTTTCTCCTTGTGATCACTCCTCTGTATGCTTTAATTTTTTCCAGCTCTAGGAACCACCGCGTGATTTTGGGAGAACATGATCGTCAGTCCAACGCTGAGCAAATTCAGGTCAAGACAATTTCCAGGGTAAGCAACAACAAAAGTTCTCTTTATTTCAAAAAAATATAGTATCTCAGTGGATTTCCTGGAGAAATACTGGCATTCGTGGCTTATGATTTGTGCTCACCTCTCCATCCAGGCCATCACTCACCCCTACTACAACGCCCAGAACTTCAACAATGACATCACCCTTCTGAAGCTGTCCTCCCCAGTTCAGATGACATCCCGTGTGACTCCTGTGTGCCTGGCCTCCTCCAGCACCAGCATCCCCACTGGAACCTCATGTGTCACCACCGGGTGGGGCAAGACCGGCCAAACCTGTGAGTGAGCCCACCTTCTAAGTATTGCACAGGATGAACCATACCTCCTTGAGAACGACGTAAAACATTTTTTAGGGCAGCTAGCCTCATTACCTTTATTCTACTTCGTTCTCAGCAAGCCCCCCGCTACCTCCAGCAGACTTCCCTGCCTATACTCAGCCCGGCTCAGTGCAAGCAGCACTGGGGTTCTAACAAGATCACTGATGCTATGATCTGTGCCGGTGCTTCTGGAGTCTCTTCCTGTCAGGTAACAACCATGCCTGAAATACAGATTTCTGGGGAAAATAGACAATTCTTAAAAACAACAATTGGTCAGATTTAAACCAATTGTAATATTGATATGTAATATGTTTCATACAAATGTGTTGATTTATCAATAGTTAAACATTAGTTAACAATTTACAGAAATGTGTGAATCATAATGTGTTGAAAAAAATGATTAAAGATAATGATGGTAATGAGTAAATAGAAGTAAATATTTGCACATAATATCCAATTTTCCAAATCCATTAATTGACGGTATTCACAGAATACATAAAAGCAGCATTTACTCTCTGATGTCATTTTTTAACTAATGTCCTGTCATGTTGATGTGAATGTTCTTAGTGCATGTTTCCCTGTTTGCCATTTTTAAATAATGGCAGACCAGCCCTCATCCTGTGTGAAAACTGTACAGAGCAGAACAGAACGTCCTGTTAATGCACCACAGAGCTTGAACAGGAGCTTCATACAAGGTTTAATTCAAATGATGTGACCCCATGCATGTTTTTAAAAAGAAACAAATCTAATTTCAGGGTGACTCTGGTGGCCCCCTGGTCTGTCAGAACGGTGGAGTGTGGTCCCTTGTGGGTATTGTGTCCTGGGGCACCTCCAACTGCAACGTGCGCACCCCTGCAGTGTACGCCCGCGTGTCCTACCTGCGCAGCTGGATCGACCAGACTATCGCTTCCAACTAATGTGCAAATAACACACTCAGAACACTTGCTCCTCACTGTGATCAACAAGTAATTCTATACAGCATTATTAATAATAGCTGTATCATGAATGTTACTTTTCAATTGGCTTTGAATGATGCATTTGTGAAAACTCATTAATAAAATATAACTTGACTACAGTGTTGGTTTTCATGTTTTACAACAAATGTTAAGACATTACTAGAGGGATGCCCATTTAGCTCCAGCTATTTAAAGATCAATAATAATTCTATAAGAATAATAATTTTAGATTCAGATAACTGTTGATCATGCATTATGTTCTAAGGAGTTCTTGTTATTTTGTCCACTCCCTGTACATGACTTAATGCCTTGTCACAAAGCCATGGCAGCAGCAGAAGTACTGTTTCATTGGCAGCTGCATGAACTGAGAAGGAGGAGTAATAGGGGAGAGAATAAGTAGAGTCAGAGCCAGATAAATATCAACTTACAAATAAAAGACAGACCTTCGTGGCATCAGAAAAATGGAGACTGGTAAGAAACTTTAAACAAAACAGTTATTGCAATGCTTTTAAATAGCACTAACAGAAAGGTCTAACATCGTTTTTGCCAGATTCATTTAAAATGTATGTGCAGAAACTTGAATTTGAGTTAATAAGTTATTTTCTAAACACAAGAGTGATTGGGTAAAATTAGTGGAAAAGTCAACATGCAATCTAATACAAAGTGTTCTGTGACTACTTAAACTAACTTAGATGTTGTATGTGGTCACACGAGAGCTAATGTCAGTAATTGCACTTATTTTTGTTGTTCATTAGATTACACCAACTCCTCATTAGATGACACCAACTCCTCATTCGTTTACACCAAATCCACTGTGGATGAACAAGAAGATGGTAATAGGGTTGTCAGGGCCCTACAAATAACTTCGCTGGTCATCTACTGCTTGATATTTGCATTTGGGACTATTGGCAACAGTCTAGTCATCTACGTGACAGGCTGCAGGATGAAGAGAACGGTCAACTCAGTTTGGTTTCTCAACTTGGCCCTGGCTGACTTCCTCTTTTCAACCTTTCTGATTTTCACAATCATTTCTACCTCTCAGGGAAACCGCTGGATGTTTGGACGAGTATTATGCAAGCTCAAAACCTTTGTGATTGTAGTCAACATGTTTGCCAGTATCTTTCTTCTGACAGCCATAAGTGTGGATCGTTGCTTCTCAATCTGGTTGGTGGTGTGGGCACAAAACAACCGTACTGTTGGCAAAACCCAGATCATATGCGTTATCATCTGGATTACTGCTGGGGTCTGCAGCGCTCCATATGCACATTTTCGAGAGGTTTGGCCTTATGAGGGGAAGATAATCTGTTATCCTAAACTCGTTACACAAAAACAAACATTGATTCTTGACATATTTCGATTTGTTATGGGCTTCCTGATCCCATTCCTGGTAATATGTGTCTCTTATGTGGCCATAGTTGTTCGGGCTGGGCGCCTGCAAAAGCCAAGAAAACAGAGATGTCGCCGGGTCATTTTCTCTGTTGTTCTTGCATTCTTCATCTGCTGGTTGCCCTTCCATGTTTTTATTTTTGTACAATCTTATCTCGGTAACATTCATCAGATTGTTGGTTCTCTGGTTTTGAGTCTGTGTTTTATGAACAGCTGCCTGAATCCCATTCTCTATGTTTTCATGTGTCATGAATTCCAGCAGAAGCTCAAGCGATCCGTGTGCTTTGCACTAGAAAGTGCCCTGGCTGAGGACCACTTATCATTTACGTCCTCTCGCTCCCTGACGTCCTACCTTTCACGGATTTCTCGTAAATCTGACTCTACTGCACCCGTGGAGATGAAAGGCCCAGCCACTTGCTCAACCACAGAACCAGTTTTTTTTCATTGCACGGAGGGAGAGACACTGGGCACTGATGAAGATTAGTCAGAGTATATGAAACTTGTAATCAATTATCACAAAAGTAGAGTAGAAACTGAACATGGAGTGTCGATTGATTAGTCCATCTATGTGCAGAGAATGATTGATGATATTTTGTATATTTGTGCATTTTTATGTTCTCTATATTATCCCCCCTAACAGGTGTCTACACTTATCTCTGACACCCACTATTTTTGTTGCACCTGTGACAAGTTCCACCTTTTTTTTAACTATGTATGAAATGTATTTTTGATGAAATCACAAAGTTCTCTAGATCAATAATTGTGTAGGATGTGCTGTGGCCTTACAATGTAAATATGAATGTCTGTGTATAAGAATTAATTATTTTGTACAATGAAATTATACCCATAAATTCATCAGATATGGCAATGCTTAAAATTACATGATAATGTGCACAGTAATGTGTTATTTTACTTTTAAGTGTTGTCAGCAATACAATTTCGAGCTTATTTACAAATGTTTTTTTGACATGCCTCTATAGCAGCATAATACTGTCACACAAACTGAGCTTCAATAATTGCGCTATATGCATTTTTGTACAGTGAATAAAAACATATTTTTGATGAGCTGTTCACTTCCTTCTTCAGTGTTTCTTTTATCTTACAGGATACCACAATGATATGCTTGACTTCATGCATTTGCAAAATAACTTATAAATTGTGCCTCCTAATGACACTTGTAATTCAAAGGGTCGCTGCTCTGCAGTTTTGTAAATATGTATACTGTAGTACATACAGAGTTGAATTTGCTGTTACTTCCACCAAATCAGCCAGTGGCGGTTCTAGACCAATTGTACTGGGGGGGGCCAGGCTGGGGCCAGTTATTTCATGTCAGGGGCGCAATAAAAGTGGGTTAAAAAGACAAAGACAGTATATAAAGTAATTGTGTAAAATTAACATAAAATACAGTAATTGGTATTTGTTTTTGTAAAGGTATTTGTTTTAGTACATTTAAGTTACAGTCCTTTGTTTCAGTAGTTTTTTTCATTTAGAGTATTTGTTTTAGTAACTTAAGTGACAATTTAATTAAAACACATAAACAGTATTTGCTTTTATATAAGGTTATGAACAGTTTAATCTCCACTGTACATCCGGGTCTCTGATTTGATTTAGTTCCAATAAATCGTAATATTTTAACCTTGTTTTTGGCAACACACTCTCACTCCATAAACGTCCAGGAGCGACGCTTGGTCAGGGTCCCGAGGCATGCAGTTGGGACGCTCCTAGGCTCCTTCAGCTTCATAAACAGACGCAAATACAGTAGCTTTCAACTGATTGCAACGTATTCCCATCTGCGGCGGGATTTGACGCTCATGGAAGCACGGCATTCGTTTGTGTCGGCGTTTGTTAAAGGCAATGTGAGCGTCCATTCCCATTGGATAACGGAGAATTGTACACCCGGAAGTAAGTATTCCCCTTACTGTCGATTGATTTGACATTGATATCTCCACTACTCATCAACTCAAAAACACCAGATTATCCTTGTTAATTAAACGACATTGATAGGTTTTAGTGTGTGTACAATGCTTTTGTCACGTTTTCCCCTTCAATTCTGAGAAACAAGTCGTTTTCTATGAGTTTTGGATGGCCAAAGACATTACATTACCCACAATCCTCTGTAGCAACCATAGACTGTATATTGCAACAGGCAACAGCTTCGGTTCATGTTAATTTACAAACTCTTCAACTACAACTGTAGTTATATTTAAAAACATGTTAGAAGGCCTCACGAAATACTTTAATGTAAATTAAAATTAAATGTGAAGGAATAGCCTATCTACCAATTGGATCAAATATAAAAGTCAGCCGAATTAGTGTTGATACTGCAAGGAGACGTATTGTGTGAAAAGAAATGTAAGATGTTGTTTAATTGCTTATATATTTAAGATCAACGCCAAGTTTTCAGTTTTGGCGGCAGTTCCTGTTTGTCTTGAAGTCTTCTCATCAGGGCTCTATAAATAGAGTTAACTACGGCAGATATGTAATATTTAATGCAGCCGAAACGTGTATTACAATGCCGTTATGTGATGACTTTCAAAGACAAAAGCAAGCACACTCGGAATAATGCATTATTTAATTTTTTTTTAAATGTTTTCGGATTTCACATCGCATAAACACCAAATCCCAGCGTGCATAGCGGAATATCAGTATGAGAAAAACGGCATCATCTGTCCTTTGACCCTCACATCGTACAAGGAAAAACTTCCAGAGAAAAACCCACAGTGAATATACACACATTCCTTCACATTTACATTTTAATTTACATTAAAGTATTTCGTGAGGCCTTCTAACATGTTTTTAAATATAACTACGGTTGTAGTTGAAGTGTTTGTAAATTAACATGAACCGAAGCTGTTGCCTGTTGCAATATATATGGTTGCTACAGAGGATTGTGGGTAATGTAATGTCTTTGGCCATCCAAAACTCATAGAAAACTACTTGTTTCTCAGAATTGAAGGGGAAAACGTGACAAAAGCATTGTACACACACTAAAACCTATCAATGTCGTTTAATTAACAAGGATAATCTGGTGTTTTTGAGTTGATGAGAAGTGGAGATATCACTGTCAAATCAATCGACAGTAACGGTACGTCCACACAGCAGTGTTAAAAATATCTTCCAACGCTTCTGCCCATTCACTTTGAATGGGGTGACGTCACTTTGCCTCACTTTTCGCCGAACTGCATTGTTTCAGGCTGCAAAAGTTGAGCAATGTTCAACTTTTGAAGCTTCTGAAGCTTCGGTGGAAGCGTCAGCCAATCAAATCCCGTTTATGCAGCCAATCAAACCGCGTGTATGCTGGGAGAGACACACCGCAGGTCATTTCCTCATATTCCAAAAAATGGAGCAAGCTTCAACGCACGCCGCTGTGTGGACGGGCCGTAAGGGGAATACTTACTTCCGGGTGTACAATTCTCCGTTATCCAATGGGAATGGACGCTCACATTGCCTTTAACAAACGCCGACACAAACGAATGCCGTGCTTCCATGAGCGTCAAATCCCGCCGCAGATGGGAATACATTGCAATCAGTTGAAAGCTATTTGCGTCTGTTTATGAAGCTGAAGGAGCCTAGGAGCGTCCCAACTGCACGCCTCGGGACCCTGACCAAGCGTCGCTCCTGGACGTTTATGGAGTGAGAGTGTGTTGGTTTTTGGAGGGGAGCCACAGGGGGTCCCTGGTCAGTGTTATGGGGGCACTGGCCCCTGTTGCCCCCCCCCCCCCCCCCCTAGAACCACCCCTGGAATCAGCAATATTTCAACAGAGAACAAGTTTAAATATGTGGGCATTAACGAAAACTTAAAATTGTTGACATTTGCCGTACTGGTGTCATCTATGGATAGGATGGTTGATTAAGAACTAACACGCTACTAGTATGCATTTCAGAAGAAAGTGAATATCAAATGCTATCTATGGGCTTCACGTATAGACTTACTAATGCTCCAAGCCGGACCTCTTATATTTTTTATATTTGCTATATTCTCTTATACCTGTGTTAGAGACAAGGAAGCAAGTTTGCCATTTTAAAATAATCACAATTGACTTCAATGTTGATGCAACAGGATAGAGGAATCATTTATTCAGAATTCTTAAAATTGTATTAATAAAGTCCTGCATGAACACTTTCCAGCACAGCAAATGTTTCTGCCCGTGATGTACAATATAGTCTTAATAGGGCTGAGGGATCTGTTAATGCTTTCCTTTGAATAAGTGTTTATTCAAACATGGACTGTTACGCTGTGGCTCCCTTTTAATTGCATAGAGTCCATTCTGTGGTGGAGAGCTGCAGTACGAGGCAGTTAGCGATCATAGAGCTCCTTCATCTCCTTCAGGACCTTGATACTCTCGCTGTATCTCAACTGGTTCTTGTTAGAGCATTCCTTCCATCTGTAATAAAAAAAAAAGAAATGTGTCAGCTCATCTCACAAACACGTGACGGTTCCAGTTGTTTGAACATCTGGTTTACTCACACACTTGCCTAAAGTGTGCAGCATGACCGAATCGATACCGGCAACAATTCAAATATGTTTCATGTTTACCGAGAGAAACACACAAAAACACCCATGGGTGTAGAACTAAAGTTTTACAATTAGACGGAAAGATTAAATTACTAAATCAAACACAAAAAACGTTTATGCAATTATCCAATTTTAGTTTAGCAAGGATTCTGAAATATCTTCTGTAGAGACATTCAACAACCATCATCCATTTAACGATCATATAGAATTATGCTTGAGGTGCTCACTGAAATTGTATTTTCCAGAAGGGACTGGGAGCAGAGCACAACACTCCTGTGTGAAAAAAATAAATAAGAGTTTTATATTTGTTAGCCACAAGGGAGCGGCCTTACGCAGGTCAGAAATGCAGAGTGGTAGTGGTTTGTAAGAGCACATTATAAATGCAATGTTCCGTTAACGTTTTGTCATATAAAAGATTTGCAATTGTAAAATAGTTTTAACCATTTAGAGTCAAAACATTCTTAAAGTATTTTTTAAACTATATACAGATGTGTACAATTTTCAGATGCTTCATTTTAAACAATTCCTTGTCAACAAAAAATCCATTGTTTGTTGTCATCCAATATAGCCTCACCTCGTCCTCCACCATGCTGTGGGGGGGGCTCGGGGAAGCAGGCGGCACTCGAACAGAAGGGTTGTTTCTCATCCAAGCATATTAATAATGTAAGCATCTAACAAGGGGAGAAAGACAGACAATAGAAAGAAAAAAGGTAAGGAGTTGTGCAATAAAGTGGTAGGGAGACCACAAAGTAATTCAGGGATAGAAACGACACATTTTATGATTTCTTATATTTTCACAACATTTACTTTGTTTGTGTTGATTGCTTTCTGGTATGCCCTCATCCATCTATTTTCGCTTCTTCCAGGTGGCCATATTTGGTAAGGACAGCGACACCAACAAAGCAATAGCTTCAGAATCAGTGATGCTCAATGAATATATGACTTACAGAGATGTATTTCACTTTAATGTCCTTTAGCCTGTTAAGCCCGAGAGACCCCGGTACCGGGGCACTGCCGCAACATCTTGCAGGAAACAGTGTCTGAGGGCATGTTCATTTAATAAACTATGAATGTTTTATATCCATGTAACGGGAAGAAACTCATCTCACTGATCATTTTTATTTATTTTTCAAAAGAAAACCCACAATGCTAACACTGAACCTCTGAATTAGCAACGAGCGAAAAATGCTAACAATTTACTGCACCAAAAATCACTCACAAAACCTTATTATTTATCTCTTCTCCGCATCCATGACATCGATGACGTTATAAGCAAAAACGGACATCAAAACAGGTGACGCTAGGTAGCTAAAAATGCTAACATTTTTACCTTGGCTCTGTAGTCTCTCCAAAGTGGTCCTCAATGGCATTAAAACGATAAAAACGCTGCTGAAGTTAATCCATAGGTTAATCCAATGTGTCTGTGTCCCTTTGAAATGATTTCTGATAATCCATAAGCAATAAAACTGCTTTTCCGTTTCCAGATGTCAGAGCTAGAGACAGGTTCACTCTGATGCAAAACTGCATGCGCGAAGCCCCCACCTTTTCTTATCACAATGAGTGTGTGTGGGGGACTCCTCCTTCGTTTCTATTGGCTCTAACGGTCAGAAAGAGTGTCAACCATCAAAATCGAGCAAGGGGGGCCAGAGATATGGAAAATCCACCCAAATGACCCCAGAAGTGGTTTCTTTTTAATAAATCTCTCTAAAAAGGTCAAATGTCACTTGTTTTGCATCAATCTTGATACAGGGTACTTATTATATGTTGTACTTTGGATTCCTAAAGCTTTTAGTCTACCTTACCATCATCCAAGGGTAGTTTTCACTATAAGTAAAAAATAATTATGGACGGACACTATCATTTACAGTTTTTTACTATGTAAAATCTGAATTTTCTTTAAAATAAAAAACATCTATATTGATTCTGACTTTTCTACATCCAACTCACAGGTTTATCATTACTTTGAGAAAAAATATTATTAATTTAACCCTTTTAGAAGTGAAGATATGGTCATTTGTTCTGGGAATGTCATTTTCGAGCCTGAGACCTGAAAAACAGGCTCAGGGCTTAACAGGTTAGATGCTAAGCGCCTGATCGGTCGTAAGTTTGACGATCCTGTAGTGCAGTCAGATATGAAGTCCTGGCCCTTCAAGGTTGTGAATGACGCAACCAAGCCCAAGATGGAGGTTGAATACAAGGGGGAGATCAAGAGCTTCTTCCCTGAGGAGGTTTCCTCGATGGTCCTCACCAAGATGAGGGAGATCTCTGAGGCTTATCTCGGCAAGGTAAATGACAATAAGTGTATGACCCTCTTCTCAAAATGACCGATTCTCCAGTGTATGGAGATAAAAGGTGACATTCTTCAACCGTCAGGAAACATTTTTAATAATAACATTTGTTCCCATAACCTCAGAATCAAAGCAATTCCCTCTGAATTACAAGACATTGTGAGAAAAAGTATTTTTAAGTGTCTTAAAAATAGACAGAATTGTAAAAAGTACACTAGTTTAAACACACATACGCTTTTTGTTAACTTAATGTTCTCCTGTCTTTACAGGCCGTGAATAATGCAGTTATCACAGTTCCTGCTTACTTCAATGAATCCCGGCGTCAAGCCACCAAAGATGCTGGGACCATTGCTGGCCTGAATGTGCTGCGCATCATCAATGAACCCACTGCTGCAGCCATTGCTTATGGCCTGGACAAAAAGGTAACTAAATAATAAAATGTGGACCTTAATCTCTTTCATGGAATACCTTTAATAATATTTGCCATTTATTTCAGGTTGGCGGTGAACGTAATGTCCTTATCTTTGACCTTGGAGGTGGTACTTTTGATGTGTCAATCCTGACACATGAGGATGGCATCTTTGAGGTCAAGTCCACAGCCGGTAACACTCACTTGGGTGGTGAGGACTTTGACAACCGCATGGTTAACCACTTACATGATAATAATGATATGAGGCTGTGGCTTATGGTGCATGTGGGTATCTCTACAGCATTTACATTTATAAACATTGTCCAGTCATATTTCTATTTTAGTATAACATGTTGTTCAAACATGATTACATGGTTTGTATTCATTTGTTCCTGTCATTTGGAAACAGCTGTGCAAGCAGCCATTTTGGCTGGTGATAAGTCTGAGAATGTACAGGACCTGCTCCTGCTGGATGTCACACCCCTGTCCCTGGGAATTGAGACCGCTGGAGGAGTAATGACTGTCCTTATCAAAAGGAACACCACTATCCCCACCAAGCAAACCCAGACCTTTACCACCTATTCAGACAATCAGCCTGGTGTACTTATTCAGAAAGACAGACATTGCAGTTATGGTCTAAACAAATACCAGTTCCCCATCCATTGTCCCAGTTTATTACATTACTCTTGAAAGTGTTCTCTGACAGAATCTAAATGTTTCAGGTTTTTGAAGGTGAGAGAGCCATGACCAAGGACAATAACATCTTGGGCAAGTTTGAGCTGACCGGTATTCCACCTTCTCCCAGAGGAGTCCCTCAGATTGAAGTGACCTTTGACATTGATGCCAATGGCATTCTAAATGTGTCTGCGGTGGACAAAAGCACTGGAAAAGAGAACAGGATCACCATCACCAATGACAAAGGTAGGTAACCATATTAAACACTGATAAAGCACAAAAGCTGAAGGAATAATGCGCTTGAACATGGAGAATAAAAAACTATTCCATGCAAGGTAAATAGCTTTGTAATGTATTCCTCCATAGGGCGGTTGAGCAAGTAGGACATTGAGCAGATGGTGCAGGAGGCTGAGCAGTTCAAGGCTGAGGACGAGATACAGAGAGAAAAGGTCACAGCCAAGAACTCACTCGAGTCTCTGGCCTTCAACATGAAGAGCACCGTGGAGGACGAGAAGCTCCAAGACAAGATCAGCCCTGAGGACAAAAAGACCATCGTAGGAAAGTGCAACGAAGTCATTGCCTGGCTCGACAGAAATCAGGTATATACTGTTGACTGAACCATGATTCACAAGTTCCTCTTTGGCTGGCATTGTGAAAGCAGTGTTCGTGCACTTTGTGAAGCAATCACTTCCCTTCCAGATAATGTTCATGCAGACAACCATGTACAAACCTAAAAAGTAATATCTGACAACAAATGTTTTGTTCCCTCTGTTACATAGACGGCAGAGAAGGATGAGTACGATCATCAGCAGAAGGAACTAGAAAAGGTGTGCAACCCCATCATCTCCAAGCTATACCAGGATGGGATGCCAGGTGGGATGCCAGGAGGGATGCCAGGTGGGATGCCAGGAGGGATGCCAGGTGGGATGCCTGGAGGAATGCCAGGAGGAATGCCTGGAGGTTTCCCTGGTGGAGCTGGAGGCGGCTCCTCCTCTGGCCCTACCATCGAGGAGGTCGACTAAAAACAAGGCAGACAGTGTCTTCATCTCAGATCCCAACAAACGCTTATTGCCATTAAAGCTATATAGACAAAATACACATCTAATAAACTGAAGATCATGGGATTGTTTTGATTAACATTATGGATCAATGAAAATACTCAGTCACATAAGAAATAATCAAAGTCTGTTTGTTGTCTTCATTATCTCTCTCTCAAATTATGATTTACACGAGGTAGACAGAGACATGCCTTTTTATCATTGGTGTTTAAGCATTTAATCAATAAAGATCACCAATGGGATTCTGATTTGCATAATCTACTGTGTGGTTCTTTTTATTATTTACTATTTTAATCACATTACATATCTGAATAAACCATTTAAGAAGGAGAAGAAGAAGAAGAAGAAGAAGAAGAAGAAGAAGAAGAAGAAGAAGAAGAAGAAGAAGAAGAAGAAGAAGAAGAAGAAGAAGAAGAAGAAGAAGAAGAAGAAGAAGAAGAAGAAGAAGGAGAAGAAGAGGAAAAAGGAGAAGAAGGGAAAATAAGTTGTTCACTCTGCTTGCTACACATTACATGCATAACAGTTCTACATTATGCACATACTGTAGGTAAAATGCACATATGAACATATGCACAAGCACAAACATATCAATACATTATCAGAGAGGTGTCAGAGTGAAGTGGCTACCAGTGTTCTTTGCCTTGCTCTACCAATGAGGTAAACTGGCACCTCTCCAGCTACAGAAGATTAATTAGTGCATAAAATAGTTTTGCAAGGGAAGTCTCGAGATGCAGATGCTTAAGATAAAACTGGTTCCTGTTCACAGACCACTAAGGTTGTGATTAATATCTTTTTTCCTGTGAGTTAACATATTTTACAGGAAATAACAACTTTGTAAGATCCGATAAGAAAGGTGTTGCTGTAATACAAAGGGCATGTGTTGCTTCTAACCAATGAAATGATTTAACAACAATGTGTTTGCAAAGCCATGACCTTTGTGCACAAGAACAGGCCAAACAGGAACATAGGAATAAGTATATGATCAGGTGTTCTCTTCCCATACTTATCACCGAAGCCGTGTGTCTGTGTGTGTGTGTGGGGGTGTGTGTGTGTGTAACTACAGTATAGGTCTCAGGGTCATGCGTGGGGGATACAAACATATAAAAGGCAGCGTTCCCCAGATCTGACATTCAGGAAAAGTGAGACGTGACCATGTTCTTCCTTGTTAGTTGTTTTGCTCTTGTGGTCTCTGCACTGGGTAAGTGTCTGGCGGTTTACCAGCAGA